TCAGAATGCCTCCAGCTCATGTGGGCGGGCAGTTTGTTCTCCCCCCAATAAACTCTTTTCTGCCTAAACCATGTGGTGCTTTCCTTTTGGTGAACCTTTGGCTTGGCGTATGCTTGCATATAAGAATTCTGAAGGGAGCTGGGCATGATGGCTCATGCCTGTAATCCTAGCTACCCAGGGGGCTGAGATCTGAGGATCTCGGTTCAAAACTACCCTGGGCAGGAAAGTCTGTGAGATTCTTATCTCCAATAAACCACCAGAAAACCGGAAGTAGCATTGTAGCTCAAGTGGCAAAGCACTATCTTTGAGCTGAAGAGCTGAGGGACAGTGCTCAGGCCCCAAGTTAAAAACCCACGACCAACAAAAAACAAAGAATACTGAAGGGGTATTGGTGAAGTTTTGCTATAAAGCGTGCCAGGCTGGACAATGAAGGGATAAGTCAGAGTTCAAACAAATGTAGACAGAGTTCACAGTCATTTTCAACTCCACATCACTTAATAGGCAATGGATAGTCAAGGAGATAAGGGGGCAACTAAGTGTCCTGCTGCCCCCTCCTCTTCTCATGAGGCGAATATGAAGTAAGAACCTGCTAGACAGAGCAGCTCAGACTCAGCTCTTGATTCTCACACCAGCAGGATGATGAGTAAGGCTCATATCTACATACCATTGTTGTTACAGTTCTACATTTGTTTTCCTCCATTTTCTGGCCAATGGTAGATCTGGTACTATTCTTCTTCAGAAATATGGATACATTCTTCATGATTCCCAAGAAAGGTTATATGAAAAGAGAATCTATTTCTGAAAAGATATGCTTTTTTCCCCCTACTGAGAATAATAACTAACATACTGAAAATAACTATGGTCAAATTGATACTTTATGTGATTTATGTATATTTACCTTTCATTTACCAGATTATATTATATTTATTATATCTTTTTCTCCAAAGACTCAGGATTTTTTAATCAACGTGTATTTTACCGTGCATCAGTCATGATACTAGACAATATAGGGCTTTTAAAAGCAGCTTTTAGAGAAACAAACTACAATAATAAAGTTCTGTTGATAATTTAAGATACAGAGTACTCAGGCTACTTCTGCTCTCTCAAACATCACTGCTCTTTTGTGTGTGGTGTTTACCAAAGCATGGCAGGAAAGGGGAGGCTCTAGATTTGCCAGGATGGATCCGACACAATGGCATGTTTCATATGAAGAACTAGCTGACAGGAATCCTGCACAGAGCCAAGCAGCTATTACACAGGATGCATTCAGAAAGGGCTACGAACCAGTGAGAAGGTGTCAGGTCTGCAAAAACAAAGGCAAACACTGCTAAAGGCAGGATTTTCATTCCCGATTTAACCAAACATACACCTGCAGAGCTCTGAGACCCAAGGGCCTCAATTTTCCTTCTTGGTATGAATGCTGCCCATCAACAAGAGTTAAGCATTTCATAGAGAGTTAATTTGTTTTAATTATGTGCAAGTCCAGTTAAGCTTATTTCTAAATTTGTTAGCTGTAGAAGTAAGCAGCACAGTAAGATTTTAACTATCGAATTGTATCAAAGTGTCCAATATCCACAACCAGTAGAGACCCAGCTCAACAGCAGGTAAAATGGCCTCGGGCAGCTGGCTTTCACTTTCCACCCAACTGCTCCTAGTTGAGGAGAAAAGCCTCCGAAGTTCTCAGGTATACACGTTTTATCTTTAAAACTCACTAAAGTTACTTTAACTTAATTGAAATACAAAGTATTTTAAGTTAATTTTAATAATAATAGCCAACATGTACTGAATACTAACAATGCAGTTATTGTACTCAGGATCTTTACAAATGAGCTTTTTTACTTTTGACTAAGTCTTCACTCAGGCAGCTTTAAGTCCTGCACTTGACTAGGCCTGACCTTGGGCTTCCTTTTCTATCCCTGTTGAATTCAGTTTGAACAAGAATGCTGCTAAGTCAGTTTAGAGAAAATCCCTAGGTATCTGATCCCTCTGGCCTGCATTGAGCAACAAATGCTGTCAAGTCAGTGTATCCGGAAACCCCTTCACACCTGATGTTTCCTCTTTGCAATCTTCCATTCATTGCCCCCAGCTCACTCCTTCATAATGATTCCTCACTTGTCCTATAGACTTCAGAGTGGAGTCCAGTCTTTCTTCCCCTGGGCAGGACTCTCTTGCAATCTCTACACTTAGCACCATGCCTCCCACTCACTGAATGAAGTCTACATATACAGTCTTTAACAATGGGTGGACGGAAGTTTTCAACACATAATAGGAGGCCCTATTTCTATTATCATTTTATATATGAGAAAATTAAACTCAAAGAAGAAAACTTTCTTAAGACTATACAACTAATTAGTGGTAAAGACGGGATTCAATCCCACACAATTTTCTTTTTATTCTTCACCATTTTATAATATTTTAAATAAGTTTTAGTTAAATTATTTGACTGTTCCTTCTCAGTTTTCTTAGTTAAGGGCTTAGCAAATGTTTTCTAAAGAGTCAGCTAGTTAAATATCATAGACTTGTGGGTGACAAATTATCTTTGCAATGTAGTGTGGCTAATACATAATCCAATGTAGATGGTGACATTCCAATGAAACTTCACTTATTAAAACAAATAATAGGCCAGAGTTGGACCAGAGGTTATCAACCCTTAACATAACTAATATTATTATTCATGTTCCTGAGAGATTTGCCATACTTACATGTGGCTTGGCATGATCTCTGATTCTAGTTTGGGAAGAAGAGGTCTAAAGAAAATTGATTTCTTTTCAAAGAAAGAAGCCAATGTCAAAAAGTAAAAGGAAGGGACTTCATTTTTCAAAGTTCTGTATCAGCTTGTCTAATAACAACAGGGTATAGTTGTGGGTTCTCTGAGTCACTGGGTACGGACTGGGCATCTCTCAGCCTCTGGATTCTTTACTATTCAGTTGTGATTTACTTATCTAGGTGGTTATGTCTCCTATTTCTACCTAAACAAACAAAAAAACAATGGGATTTGGGAGTGGCTCAAGTCATAAAACACTTGTCTAGCAAGCCTGAGGCCCTCCTTAAAATCCCTAGTACCACTATCAAAAAATAACTATTTGAGGTCAGATATATTTGATCTGATTTAAATATTACACAATGTTCACTTGTATTGAAGCATCATATGGTAGCTCATTGATATATATACAATTATTATGTTCTCATATAATAGTTTACAACTAAATTTAAATTAATACAATGTGGTTTCATTGCTCTCAGTGAGAGGCCACAATAAAGAAATATGGTGATAAAGTGTCTGGGGGAAACACACCAACAATTCAGCCATTAATAAGTATGGCAAATGGCACATACTCTACACACAATGATTGCTCACTCGTGAAAGAGACAGAAGCCTGCACAAAGAAATATGTTTAATGTAAGTTCTGCAGAGGGACACTTCCCTACCTCTTGGCTAAGTTTCCATCCAGTATCTGTTACTGAAGCAGTCACCTTACCCTCCTGCTAGGTCACATCCTAGGCCACCTCCGGTCACATGCCTCCCATCTGACCTTAGGAGGGTCCCAGACCCTGAGATCACATCCGGATCCAATATGGCCATACCTTTCCCCCACCTGGCCACACCTCTTCCTGTCCCTGGCCTAGATAAGTCCTGGCCCAGGAGTGGGTCCCCCTTCCTTTTCAGCCATGCCTCTCCACTATGCAGGGGGGGTGGAGGGGGGTTGGGTGGGCAGCAGTACAGTAAATAAACTTCTTTTCCTGCCTGAATAGCTCATGGTGTTCTCTTCATTGGCTACCTCATGAAACCTACCTATTTAATATACCTTATATTTATTATGCAAACAATATCCCTTAAACTTGTCTGGCTCCTGAAACTTTTACCACAACCCCCATTACCATCTCTTCGGATTACTTCACACAACACTACCAGGGAAGCTTTTGGAAGAGTACTTGTTTACTCAATTGGAGACACAGTCTAAAATTTTATCCACAGCCTTATACATTTTTTTCATATTCCTTCTGGAAAAATCCCACAATGCAGTTGAATATTTAAGCACTGATATATGCAACAAGAAACATAAGAAGCTATGATGTGACACCACATCTCAATGGGCACTGTAATTTTGCCATGATGTCACTGGATCATAGCCTTGGTTTTGCATTGGCTAACGGTGTGACCCTGATATAAAAGCAATTTAAAGTCTGGGGTTCAAGTCCCTTAGATCTTTTACGTAGGGCTAGACTTCCCCTGTCTACTCACCCAGTATGCTTTGAAATCAGGTGATTAAGACCACAATCAAGATTTTTCATAAACAATGAAATGCTATAAAAGCATAAAAAGTGATATATTAAAGTGATATATTATTATTTCAAGTAGAGAATCTATCGATTCACTTTTCATAGAGCTAAATTAAATGCTATTGTTGTTTTCACTTTCTGAAGTCTATATTACTGGCTTATAATTGCTAAATATGTCATTTTCCTTTTAAAAATTGTATTTTTATTATCTTTAAGTAGTTGTACAAAGGGGTTACCATTCAACAAATCAGTTTATAAGTACATTGCATCTTGATCAATGGCACACTTTCACTAGCCTCTCCTAGCCCTCAATATGTCAGTTTTTTTTTACAAAGAAAATTAACTTTTGTTCAACCACTGCATCCGAATAATGTATCACCAGATTTTTTTTTTTTACAGATAACACATATCAAAATTGAAATCAGAAAACTTCATTTGAAACAAGAGGAGATTTGCTGCAGGTCATTTGTGAGCAGGACCACCCTTCTCTGGGCTCTGCGATAGTCTGCGTATGGTAGTCCTGCAGTCCTGCAGCCGCAGTGAATAAAGACAGTAGGGCTCTATATTCGTTGAGTCCTTCATTAAACTATTGATCCTTTTAGCATTATCCATAATGTCCCAGCAGCTCAGCCCATCAACTGGTGAAGTGCTAGTCTCTCTCTCTCTCCTTTCAATAACTTCCACACTTTATGGAGAGGAAGTCACAATGATTTATTTACCTGACATTTTCCAGTCCGGATGTCGTATAGGGCCACTGAACCATGGCGCGCTCCAACGGCTATTCTGTGATTCCTCTCGTAATAGCTGACCATGTAGAACCTGGATTGAACATTTTCACAATAACAACAAAAACAAAACGAAACAAAAAAACAGGTGAGATGACCTGTACTTGGAAGCAGTCAGAACACTTTTAGAGATTAGAGTCAGCTCTGATACATATTTCTAAATAAACACATCTATAATAATCACATTAAGGGTTTCCAAACATGTTTCACTTTAGTAATTCTTTAAAAAAATCAATTCAAAAGAAAATTGATGTGGAATAGCACTTAGGCCTGTTAATAATTATTTTTAATAGAAGATTTCAAAATCATAAATACACTTGAATTTTTGAAACAGTAAAAGTCAGATACAAGCTAAGACTAACTATGGAAATCTAGTTTCATCACAATGACTTATGCAAAGATTTCTATGTGAATAGAAATGGGAAAGATTTTTGAAAAGGCTTACATATTCAATTTAATTATATTCTGATGGTACTTAGTGAAATATACTTTCTAATAGAACAATCAAGAAAGGTCACATGAATATTATATTTAATATCTTTTCAATAATTTCAAATTACTTTAGAAAGCTTTCTACCAGAACAGTTATCTTACAAATCCCTAAATTTTCCCCATATACCAGTTTATCAAGATAACTACTGACAATCTAAAAATGCATTTGGTATTTATTTTACATTTCATTTAGGAAGGACAGTTTAAAGGTTTTAAAAGGCTAAATAGTCTTTTTTTAAAAAAAATTTAGTTAACTTGTTTTTATTATCTTCAGTTATACAATTCAATGTGATTTATGCATGCAATGCATCTTAACCAGTGTCTACCCTTCCATAATTCTCTTCAGGTTTTTAGATTTGTTTACATACTTAGAGTAAGTATTTGGATTCCTTACCTATGCTTTGTCATACTGATTCTGTATGCCTATGGACATGGACAGGTTCAGAAGGTAAGAATAAACATTACCAGAAGTATAAATCAGGTATGACTTCATATCTATTCTATGGTCTCAGTGAGACTTGTCCAGTAAATGCATGTACTACCCTAATGTTTATGAGGACTTCTAATCAATTTTGGACACATTCCTTGCTCATTTCACCTCTGGTTCTATATGATCAAACTAAATTTTCATTACATTTTTTTTAAAGGGAAGAGGGGAGATAAAACATGTCAGAAAACAAATTAAAAGTCATTTTTTTAGATGGATATAAAATAAAATGCTACTGGGTCAACATTTCTGAAATTATAGGAAGAGTGGCCAAGAAAGAAGCTTGAACCTATAAGTGGAGTTATTCTGATAGAGAAGTGGGGTATATTTCATAATTATGTTATTAAAATTTTGGTTGTTACTACGAAGTAAGGGATTAAGTGACATTTCTACCCCACTCCTAATTTCCCCCAATGACTGTGTCCTTCTGTTCCATTAATAGCACACGGAAGACACGAAGTAGTTGAGACTCTGCTGCATGTGCTGTGTTCAGGAATGTCATTGTCCTTGCATGCTGGTTTGAGATAAGATAGGACACAGGACACTCCTGAAACCTACAAAGTTTCCCCCACTATTAAGTAGTGAGGTTTGTCACAAACACTACTGTGCCCCAATGAAAGGAGTGGGAATTAACACTCAAAACCTTACACACCTATATTTACAACAGAAAATGCTTTAGAATTTAAAAAACATTATTATGCTGTCATTTAAAAGTTATGTACACATGTGTGCATCACTGTATCTGTGTCAATATTGACATCTTTTTTCTGTACATATATAACAATACATAATTTATATTCTGCTGGAGTTACATGGTATGTAATATTTAACAAATGTTTTAAACAACTGTTTGTTTGGTTCAGGTTAATAGCCACAGAAGGAAAAACCTTGCAGTGGTATTTTACTATTATTTGCACAGATTGAGCAGCCATATTGCCAAGATCTTTCTGTAAAACTGAACAGAACCACTTTCAAAATAATGCTTTACAAAACAAAGCATAGGTAAAATACATTCGTGGTGACAAAGTCTTAAACTGGACTGCAGCATTCTGAGATACTGCCCATTTTCTATACTTTGGATATCAACTTCATCCTTCTGCACCAAGCAGAAATGCCATTATTTATGGGGGAAAAAGATCAAATCTATTTTTGGTATCAAATCTTTAGTCTGTCTGAAAGGACCATATATTATAGGTCTGCACTTTTCATTTCTTGCAATTTACTACTAGACTAGTACTTCAAACAACACAAAGAATAGGGAGACTGAAGATCTTATGGCAGGCTTTCATCTTAGGGTTTCTTACTGCTCTCCTCCTTTCTTCTTTCCTTCCCCACCTCTTTCCCTCCCTTATATTGTTTCCAGACAATTTTGCTTTGCACTGCAGGTTGTGATACTTCTGCTCTCAGAGTATTAAGATTACAGATGTGTGCCACATTGCTTGAACATGTTAAAATTTAATTCCTGATTCTCTGAACAGAAGTCTGAGTAAGTACTCCCTGCACAAGGATGCACTATGGGTACTGACTACAATGAGCCAATCATTGCAGAGAATCCTAGAGTCCACCATCCCCCCGGCTTGTGGTCTTCCTGGCACCAGTTCTCCATATGAGGTTGTCAAGATTAAGGATGGTGAGATGTGTATGATTTGCTCCTACCCCTGAAGGTGCTGGAGGTATGATTTTTAATACTATTCTAATCTTGACTTGAACCCAAAGGAAAGTCTAAAATTGCAGCATCTCAGAGTAAGGATTCATGTGTGCAAGGCCTTCTAGAAATGGTACTTCAGTATCCAAGTCCCTGTGATGGTAACACTTGGAAAACATTTCTCAGGCAATGAGCTGGCAAGAAACCACTCTTACGCAAGTTAGTCCAACAATCTTCCTGTACTATGTGGGCTAACAGAAACTCTGTCAATTCTGAGAGCGTTAGCACTCAAGCAAGTGAAAGCACAATAAAGGGGACTGAAGTATCAATGTGACACATGATTCTTGCTAGGCGTGGACGTGGTCACCATACAAAAAGTTTAAGATCAATGATCTCCATCCTTTCATATTGCCATATGCACTCAGAGGGGAAACTTGTCAACTGTAAATCACATCTGCCCTGTCTTCTGTCCACAGTTTCCTTCAAAGCTCAGACCTCATCTCCTGGTCCTCTTTACTTCACACTGCTTTAGACATGGTAGTCCATTGTACTTTCTTGGATATGCTCAGAGGCTCCTACTCCAAGACTTTGACATTTGTTGCTTGCTCCGCTTACAATCTCATTGGCTCAATATCTAACCTGCTCATGCCTCAATTCACAGGTGCCAGTTCCAAGGTTATCCTGATAAAGCACATCCTTAAAAGGCCACTCTGTTTAATATGGCAGCCCTTCTCTGTTATTTTTTTAAAAATGTTCTATTTTTAAATTACCACTGCCTTGGATATTAGACTATATATTTTTTGTTTATTGTTTTCTTTCATCAGAACCTTTTGTCTTTTCCTGATGTATAAATATGTGCATCTGGTCTAAGCAGGCAGGATGTAACAGTTAGAAGTTTATTGCAGCAGACTCTATGCTTACTCTTCAGTGATTAGCGCAGGAGCTATGCAAAGCATGAATTTTTTAAGATTATTGAATATTTTATGGGGTTTAAAATACTAATTCAGATGAGCACAGAGGAAACAAAAACTTTCCCCAAAAGTTAGGCAGAAATCAACCAATAAAAAAGCACTGCCAAGCCATCCTTTTAAAAATGTACTTTTAAATTGAGACAAACAATTAGAGATCTCCAAGAAGTTATCGGTAAAGACTCCTGGGCCTGGGTACATTAGCATGAGACTTAAGATTAGAGAAGATAAACTAATTTTATTTCAAGAATGAAGATAGAGTCTAAGACATTTTTTGATGTCTTGGGAATAAAAATGAAATGGAGAGGGTCTACTGCACAAGTTGTGGGAAACTGAGTCCACTCGGGGACAGCCAATCATTCTGCTTGGGAGTTTGCTGAGCACCCAGGGCTTGACACACCGCATGACTATGGCTTTTATTTACAGTTCCTTGTGAATTGATAAGCTCTGTATCACTATGAAATATGGTCCTCAAATAAGACCCCACTGAAAAAAATGAGAGGTAGAAGACACTATGTTGAAAAAACAAACTTTACAATTTAGGCGGGGAGGGGACGGGGGGTGGGGGGAACTGTGTGTGTGTGTGGCGGCAGGGAGGGTGTAGTTGTGGAGGTGGGAGGGAAGAGATGGTAAGGGAAAATAAAGGAGGAAGTAACAATGCTTGATAAGAAATGTACTCATTACCTTGCTCATGTAACTGTAACCCCTCTGTACAGTATTTTCACAATAAAAAAACTTATTAAAAAAAAGAAGCATGAAAAAATTTTAAAGCACATTTAGAAAAGATAGGAAAACATGCAACTCTCAACAGAAATATGATTTGGGAGAAAGAAATTCATAAAATTACTGTCACCATGACTTCAGGGATCTGCAGTGATTGCAAGACATTAATTTACTACTGTACACCAGATCCTTAAGAACTAAATGCAACATGAAACACTTTAATCCAAAATTAACTTTCAGTTCAATATGTAATCACCTTAAATCTAAGGGTGTATAGAATAGAATGCAGATTTTTCCACATATTTTTCCCTAAGATAAAAATATTGCTAACTATAAATGCTATTACTTGCAGGTAATATGAACTGAGAACTAATTATATGTAAATGTATGTATTTGCGTGCATATAGATCAGGTCTGAAGGCATCTATTGCAATAGATGCTTTTAATAGGTCTTAACATTGATTAAGGGGGTTTGCAACTATTAACTATTTTTTTTCTTAAAAAAGTATTAATATGCAATTACAAAAAATACCCATTAAAACAGCAGTGCATATTTAACATACATGTTTGAGAATCTACAGAAAATTTTTATGTATTTGTAAATAAATAACAAATGAGAAGATAGGTTTAACTTGATTTAAATATTATATATGTATATAGCTATTAAAAATCACACTGCACCCGATTAATCTGTACAATTTTATGGCTTTATATGTCAG